CAAGGTATGTATGCTTGGGCCGCCCAGCCCCTTCGATTGCATCTCCCCTCTCTTCTAGAGTTCGCTGCTGCCCCGAGCATTAGACTAGTTCCATGGCACTCTGCCTCACTTGCCCTCCCTCGCCTTCACCAGTCCAACGTGTTCGTCGAGGGCGTGTCGCACAAGATCCGGAGGCAGATCGAGGACCTCGAGCGCGCCGGAGGCGTCGACAGCGGGGCCCTCACCGTCGATGGCGTCCCCGTCGACACCTACCTCACCAGGTCAGGTCTGCTGCTACCTGCCTACTGTCCTGTCCTGTCTGTCCAGCCCGCCGATCGGATTCGGATGGGTGGTTTGTTTGTTGCCCCAACGTGTGTGTGGCTCAAAAGCTAGCTTGTTTGTTTGGGTTGTGCTTGTGCGTGCGTGCAGGTTCGTGTGGGACGAGGGCAAGTACCCCACAATGTCGCCGCTCAAGGAGATCGTCGGCAGCATCCAGTCTCAGGTCGCCAAGATCGAGGATGACATGAAGGTTGGTTTGTTTCTAGTAATACAACTCTGATGCTGAGTCAGAATGTTCTGTAAAGATCCACCAATATTAACCTCACATAATGATCAGACTTGTGCGTACCACTTCACTGCATTTGTTTAGCATGCTATTGGATACAGACTAAGGTTGCCCTTTATAATTCACCGCGGACTTCTGTAGTTTTATATGTCTAGATTTAATTAAAAGGAGCCCTGTGCTGTTACTGGAGCATTCTGTGGTTTCATGTGTTTTTTGTTTCCCATAATACGGAGTAGGTGCCTAAATGATGCATGGCTAGTTACTCGACCATTAACTCTACTTCTCCTTTTACTAGCATTCAGTCGACACACTCCTTCTATTCAAACTTACAGATCACAACTACGGTCCAAAGTAATGAGAAATTGATGCCAGATTTTCTCAGGATAAAGCAAACCCATGTATAACATACCCCTTGAATATCTATCTGCCTGTGATTAGTCCTTCCCATCTCTATCTACGATTCTTTTTTTTCCCCTGCTCATTATCAGCTGTATTCCCACATGGGGTTTGGTCTCAAGTTATGACCTTCATTTCATTGTGGTATTACACGATGATGGTTTTTGTAATATTGTTGGCTGGAAACTGAATTTACAATGACTAAAAAATATTCTATTTTCTAGGTTCGAGCAGCGGAATATAACAATGTAAGGAGCCAGCTTAGTGCAATCAACAGAAAGCAAAGTGGGAGGTATTGCCATACTTTTATCACTAGTTTTTTGGAGGATTTTATATTTATATATATATGCTTATGTTAGCTGTGATCCCAACCATTATTCAATTCCTTTGTTGTTTTAAGTAATGCAAATGGGAAAGCAGAGTGAGGTAAACTGTTTCTTGTTATGCACTGATTAATTTGCCTTTTCTTCTGTGACAGCTTAGCAGTTCGTGATCTTTCCAATCTGGTAAAACCAGAGGACATGATCAGCTCAGAGCATCTAGTAACACTTCTTGCTGTTGTTCCAAAGTACTCCCAAAAAGACTGGTTGTCAAGCTATGAGTCACTCGACACATTTGTGGTAATGTTAATTTTCTGTTGTGCTTCATTTATGATGATTTTCAGCCTGTTTTATAACCTCCTAAATTGGCAAGTTTTCCTTCAAACTTTCATTTAAAATAGGAATTGAATACTGTTTTAATCTGCCCTTAGGAGGATCTTACTTTCATAAAAAAGCTGTCAAGTTGCTCTAAACTGTATCCCTTATTTCATTGTGTATATTCATATTTAGTATTCAGCACCCCTTTCATTTTGAGCTGAACATGATTTTATAGGTACCCAGGTCATCTAAACAGCTCTATGAAGACAATGAGTATGCCCTCTACACTGTAACACTTTTTGCTAAGGTTATTGACAACTTTAAGGTTCGTGCTCGCGAGAAGGGTTTCCAGGTAAGGTTTCCTTAAACGCCTTATGATTTTTAACATTAATCTGGCAACCCATCTTTAGTCTTTTGTCATTCACTAAGTTTTATTCATTTTGTTCCAGATTCGTGATTTTGAGTATAGTCCTGAAGCACAAGAAAGTAGAAAGCAGGAGATGGAGAAGTTACTGCAAGACCAGGAAGCTATGAGGACCTCGCTTCTGCAATGGTGCTATGCCAGCTACAGCGAGGTACTTAGCCTTTCCCAACATATTCCAGTTGTCCTATGATCCTACCCACAATATCATTTCTTTCCTTACAAATGCAACTGGTTTAGTTTTCCTTGTGAATGTCTGAAATGTTGAATGGGAATTTGATTTTAGACCATATGTTTATATTGAAAGCCATTATGTTAATATTTGGTGTCACTAGACACTGAATGTGTCCTGATTTATGGGTTTAGGTCTATGAAACTCCTATTTTTCATCATACAAAAATTCTCACTACTGGGCCTGTGGCCTTGGCTAGATTTTAGATATTTGCTTGTGCACTTGATTTTTTTAGATGGTTGCTTGAGTAAAATGACCAAAGTATTGAGGATCAAATGCTTTGTTGTTGTGGTTATACAATATGCTAATATTTGATTTGGTTTCTTTCTCATGCTTATCTTGCTTGCCTGACAACAACTCCACCTGTGTTTGACTGGATTAAGTCCCTTTTGCCTAAAAGTTCTTTCATAAGGACCTGTTCCCTAAAGGGTTGTAATTATTTTTGTGCAGGTATTCAGTTCCTGGATGCACTTCTGTGCTGTGCGTATCTTTGTAGAGAGCATTCTTAGATATGGTCTGCCACCATCATTCCTGGTAATTTGCTCTGCTGTCTGACTCTTTGTGATGCTCAACTCTATCTTGCATGTCTTGTCTGATTTTTCTATTGCGTTAGTCTGCCGTTCTTGCTCCATCTACAAAGGGCGAGAAGAAAGTAAGGAACATCTTAGAGGAGCTTTGTGGCAATGCCCATAGGTAATTCAGTGTTTGGAGTGTAGTAGTTACATTATTAAGTCACATCTTTTGTCTTGTTTTTCACTAATAAAATGCAACATTTGAATTACAGTATTTATTGGAAAGTCGAAGATGATGTGGCTGTTGCTGGTCTGGGAGCTGAATCAGAGGTCCATCCTTACGTCTCATTCACCGTAAACTTTGCCTAAGTCTAGTGTGTCCCCAATGTCTGTGGCTTGCCAATATTTTGGAGCAACTATTACCTCGAGCAATCAAAACAATCGAATGGTTCTGTATATTACTAGTGATACGCCAATTCTTTCTTTATTTGTCACTTTTATCTTATCATGTAATTTCTATTGGATAGATAAGCCGATCAATAATGTAGCTTTTGAGAGAACTGAAATAGATCGATCACCATGTAATACTTGTTCTCGTAACATCGGGCTATTGTTATTCTAATAAAGCCATGTCAAATAATTCAGATCGTTGGTCACTGAGATTTGGATTTTAACCATCGAGGCTTTCTCTAAATGGCTTCCCAAAGTTTCGAATCATGCTTGTCCAGGTTACCGTGTCCAAGAATTTCAAGAATGATTTTGAATGAAAAAGAAAATTCTAGGATTTCTCAAATATTTTAATCAAACCCAAAACGTTAGGATAACCAAAAGCACATATAGGATATATGTTGATGAATACCTAATACAAGGGTTACATGAATCCTTTACTTAGCACCTTCACAGTGTGATTAACCTCAGACTGAATCAGCCAAGGGCTTGGGCTACATCCGGTGGGTGCACTCGTGCATCCCCGTCGAATACCGATCGAAACCCTCGGGGCTTGAGCCTCCATCAGGGGCTCCAATCGAGGAAAGCTGGTCCTTCAGAGCTTGGGGGCTCCAACCGAGGAAAGATGGCTCGGGGATAAAGCTTGAGCCTAGGACAAGGCAAACTTTATCTTACTTCCCTAAGTGATGCAGTGAATAATGTTGATCCATCATCATCTACAAATGTCAGTACGAAGCGTGAGAGAAATGATAATGAGACTTCATCGAAATTATGACACTGTCGTTTGAGCCATATTTTGAGGCGGAGAATTGAGCGTCTCATTAGAGATGAAATACTCCACCCACTAGATTTCTGCCCGCTATGTCATGAACTTTGTGCGGCTGCTTGCGGATTACAATGCCTTGCTAAATAACCTTCTAGAATATGGGATACTGAGCTGACTGTGGTTGATAATCAAAACATGACTCCATTGGGGCATTGCATGCTCATGCTGATCACACACCTACAGTGCAAGATTGATGAGAAATCGAGGCTGTATGAGGATGAAGCCCTGCAGAACATATTGTTGATGAACAATCTGCTGTATATTATGCAGAAGGTGAAGGATTCAGAGCCCAAGACATTGCTTGGTGATAACTCGATTCGCATGCGTCGTGGTCAGATTAGACAATACTCGATCTACAGGGTATCTCCAGTCGTCATGGACTAGGGTGTTAGCATGCCTGAGAGACGATGGCCTTCCACACACAATGGGTTCATCAAGTGCACTCAAGGGTCAAGGCTGCACTGAAGGACAGGTTCATTAAGTGCTGCAACAGAGCTGGTGGTGTTCTGCAACAGTAATCACTGTTGCAGTGCATGGCAGGAGGTCAAAACACCTCCACAGACCACCACGCTTTGGTCTGTCCTCTACCTTGATCAGAGGAAAGGGCATGACCATGCAATCACCATCATTGACCAAATGGAAGCCAGCCCCCCGTGTGTGCAGCAACAACGTTAAATGGAGAGGCACCCCGGAGCCATCTCGTGCTAGCGAATGCTAGTGAAATCCAGTGAAAGGAACCCTACACTGAGCCACTGATCAGGCAGCTGCTGAAACATTGGGACGGGTTTCCTAAACTTCTCTTCTACTAAGTTCTTGCCTGTTGCAGTGGCTAACTCCAACGAAGGTATGAGCAGCACTAGTTTTATCTGGATGGTCCTGTAAATTTAACACCCAGGACTGGGTTAAGGAGGATGGTCCTTTTTTCTAAAAGTTTTTTTTTATAAGAACCTGTTCCCTAAAGGATTGTTTTTATTTTTTGTGTAGTTATTCAGTTCCTGGGTGCACTTCTGTGCTGTGCGTATCTGTGTAGAGAGCATTCTTAGATATGGTCTGCCACCATGGCACCATACATTCCTGGTAATTTGCTCTGCTGTCTTTTGACTCTGTGTTGGTCAAGTCTACTCTATCTTTCATGTCTTGTCTGATCTTATCTCTTGCACCAGTCTGCTGCTTTTGCACCGTCTACAAAGAGTGAGAAGAAAGGAGCATCTTAGAGGTGCTTTGTGGCAATATCCATAGGTAGTTAAAGTGTTTTGAGTTGCAGTCATTGCGTTGTTAAGTCACATCTTGGTCTTGCTTTTCACTATTGCGACATCTGAATTACAGTATTTATTGGAATTCCGAACGAAGGTGGCTGTTGCTGGTCTGGTAGGCGAATCAGAGGTCCATCCAGAATAGCCCAGGGATCGATAGCCTACCTGAAACCTGCTGAATCGCCCTGTAACATTTCACAGAGAAGACAATTTAATTCTATATTAAGTACAAACCCCATGTCATCAAATTCAATTCAATTGTTTGATTTTATACTACTCAGAAGTCAGAACAAACGAAAGTTTCTCATTTCTGATCCCAACACCATTCTACCTTCCATTGGATCAGACATGGGGGGAAAACATTAGTTTCATTTCATTCGTTCTGTGACATTTTCACTCGATAATGACACATGCTCATTGATGCGTTACTCTATATATATTTCTTTTGCTTCATTTCAGGTGGAACCGTAGCTGATGCCATTGTATGTTTTTATTACATCCAACCAGATTTGTGCCTTGTCCCCTGGCTACAGATGACTGGCACTCTTCTTGGAGCTCGCTCCTGCGTCCTGACAGACAGCACCACAGCGTTTGTGCGCTTATTCTGAGCATTCTGGGTCTGTTTCCACTGCCAGAGGGCACTGTGGAAACTCTTGAGTACACTAGTTCAGATAGAGACAGACAGCTTGCTAGCTAGCTTGTTGCAGTATCTTCAACTGCTGCAGCCGATACTACCTCGGTCTTGGTCTCTTGTTCAGCTCCCTCGGCCTCGTTGGGAGTGGGCACCTCAACTCTCATCTTCCTTACACGGAACATCGCCAAGTGGATGTCACCTGCAAGATATCGATGCAGAATGCAAATTCCACAGTTCACAACCTAGAGCGAGCTACTTCTCGAGCACACATAATTGATGAATTGGACGGGAATCGTTGGATCCAAACCGAAGATGAGTAGGCTGCCGGGGTCGATGGGCACGGGGAAGCCAGGGTTGAGCCGGCGCTCGTTGATGTAGGTGCCATTGGTGCTGTCCAGGTCCGTCACCAGCAGGCTCCCGCCCCCGCACTTCTTCTCCAGCCGAGCATGCGTGCCTGAAACTGCAGCCAGTGCAATATACATGATCAGATCGCTGCTTGTTTGGCCCTGGCTCCTGGCTCCTGAACGGAACTTGGCAAGGCATTCCATGTATTTCCATTGCGTTGTTACATCCACGGTTGCTTATCATCGGCACCATGCTGAATTGACAGAGTACGAACAGAGTCAGTGACTGAACTCTGGCAACAACTGACCTGTGGCAACGGGGAGGACGATGCCAGCTTTGTCAGCAACTCGGCCAACGGTTACCGCATCCTGAAACGAACACCGAAATTCTAACTGTCAAGGTGACTAGTAACATGTTTGCAGTGACAGTGCGTACAGTATTTATATGCTATTGCTGCCAAGCTCGGCTTGTTTAAATCCAGGAGCTAAAGTTTAGGGTGTCACATGGAAGTGTTCGGATAGTAATAATAAAACAAATTACATAAGTCCTCAGTAATCCGCAGGACGAATTTATTAAGCCTAATTAATCCGGCATTAACATATGTGTTACTGTAGCACTACATTGTCAAAATATGGACTAATTAGGCTTAAAAAATATGTCTCACAGATTAGTCGTAATCTGTACAGTTAGTTATTTTTTTAACCTATATTTAATACGTCATGCATGTGTCAAACATCCGATGTGATAAGGACTAAAGTTTAGGAGGGGGAACAAGGGCATCATCCTACATATTGGACGCCAAATAAAAATCTTTACTCTCAAGGTGACTTGTATCATGTTGCCGTTACAGTGCATATACATGATATTTTTTAGATAATAAAGGCTATATATATATAGCTTTGGCTGCCAAGCTGCTCATAATGTTAATTGTACACACACACTTCAGCAGTTTGAGGATATAGCTACTATGCTGAATAAAAGCACGATGCATGATATGTATATCGACATATGGAGAGAACGAGAGTACTCACTGAGACTATCTCGATCGCACCAGGCCGTGCAACTTTGTAGCCGATGTGACGCCAATCACCATCACCTGAAAATCGGTAACACGAGAACATAATGCTGCTGAGCTCCGCTTTGCAACGAGATTTTAGCACACCATAGACACACCGCAGTGGGCATACGAATTATTAAAAGCAAAACGTGGTGCTACTAACCATGCTAGCTGGTAAAGAATAATGAGTTAATGGTCCCGTTCGCTTCGCTGAAAAAACAAACCGAAACACTGTTCTGCCTGATTTGTTGCGAGAGAAAAATACTGTTTCGACTAAAAAAACGAACTGAAAAGTACGGATTATAAGACAAGCGAGCATGACCAATAACGTGATAAAAGTGAGTAGTACGTAAATGATACGAGGAGAATAATAGAGCGAGTAAATGGCACGAGCCGTGTTGGCTCTGTACTGCATTCAGAGTTTCAGACATTCAGCAAAATTTAACCCTGACTTGCAGGGTCAAGTATCCATTTCTCTGTCGAGACGGCGGTTGATGAGCCGCCAGTGGCACTAGAAGAACACCTCCACCCCGCACTGCTTCTGCTTCTGCTACTCCCCTTGCTGCCTAGCCTCGGAGCAGCGAGGCAGCAAACCAGATGCTGCTGCTGCCTTGCAGTGGAGGTTGTGAAGGAGCAGCAGCTCTTGCAGGGAGGCCGAAGCGACGAGGGGGAAGGCAAGGTTGTTGTTGGCGATGATCTCCTGGGGCCGGAGACCAGTAGCAGGGAGGAGGTGGTGGCAGCCACTGCTGCTTCCATCAGGTCAGGGCAGGCAGGGTGGCCAAGGGAATGTACCGGAGCCGGAGAAGAACGGCTGCGGTGGCCTTGGTTTTGTTCCTGGCCAAAATGTATCGTTAGTTTGGTTGTTTGGCGCGACGTGGGCGCAATCCGATCCTGCTGGGCCCAACGTGAGCATCAACTTTTCAACTATGACCTGGTCATTATCCGGCCGTTGGATCCGTGTCGCGTCAAGAAAAACGTAACGTCTTTTTTTTTCTGACCCGAGCGTATTACCAACCGGTACTACATGCTTCTTGGAAACGTGACCGTTAGGTCTGGTACTTATGCTCACATTAGTACTGGGCCTTGTTCTGGCCGGTACCAATGCTCAAGATGGAAAGCCGGCCAGTAGCAGTGTCGGGTCAATTAATCGAATTATTCAGGTGGGGTAGCCCCACATTGTTGTTTAAAAAAATCTATTATAATTCAATAAGCTATATTCTCCTAGGTTACTGTGACTATCGAAGAAAAAAAAGTTATTCTAGGTTTATCCTAAGTCAATTTTTTAAAATTTGAACAAGTTTGTACAAAAAAAGTACCAGCATTTTTATGCCAAATAAGTATTATCATTTATCATGAAATATATTTTTATAATATACCTTTTTTGTTACTTTCCTAATTTTTTTTTAATTTTTTTTTGACTTAAAACAAAACTAAAATAACTTGTTTTTTTGGTACCGAGGGAATATAAATGATAAGAAAGATTATATAATTTGGGATGAAAAACAAAACAAGATATAATAAGTTGGTGACATCCTTTATGTGCTGGATTCTTAGTTACAAATTATTAGTAGTAGATAAAAAAAATTATTACCATATGGTGGCCGAAGACTACGGCGACGCACATGGTGGGCCGACATATGTTTTGCTTTCAATATTCTGAAATATAGTTCCCTGTAGTCCGGATGCAGCTAATCGCGCAAAATAGATGTCCCGCGCGCCCACCTATCTTGATGCACGAATATTAATTTGCCTGTGACTCTTGTCGCCCGCCAACCGCCATGAGCAAAGACTTGGGTTAGGTGTAGACTTGCGTGGTGCCAGTCATCGAGGAAAGTAGCGCAAGGTTTTAAAAATGTGCTTGTGCAACTGGAGTACTGGACGTAAAATTGCTGGTATTATTTAATATTTATTTATGACATGTGGACATCAACCTCGTAGGTAAAGTTGCAAGTGGATACTAATAGCCCCTTAAAAAAAGTGGATACTAGGGCTGTGTTTGGCATGGCTGGGGGCCCCTCCGGCTCCTCCTCCAGGTACGGGCATCAATAAACCCTGTAGCATCAAAAGTTCTCCGGCTCCTGCAAACCAAAATTTAAAGATATGATTTGGCGTGGCCACGGCGCGGCCTCAGGGTGGCCACGTCGCCGGCTTTTCGCGGCCGTTCGATCGGCCGCGCGGACGGTCCAGATCGGGCGAGCCGCGGTCGTTTTACGAAAAACCCCTTTAAGTTTTCGGAAATCAACCCGCGCTCCAGACGTCCTCTCAGAATTTTTTATAAAAAACGCCTCGTATTATTTCCAAATCAACGCTCAGTCCAGACCGGATGGACACTTGTTTGTTTGCAAAAAAGACCTCCACTTTATCGAAAATCAGCTCGCGCTACCCAGACACTCGCCGTTTTTTGCGAAAACATCCTCAGATTTTTCTCAAATCAAAATACAGCCCAACTTTGATTATATCTTTTTTTTCTCAAAAAAAACGTGTGGTCAATGGACCACGCGCATGGGCGCGCCCGAAAAACTAGTTGACCTACATAGACAAGGAGCCAGCGGAGCTAGGATGGAGTGGCTCCTCCGGCACTGCTACAGCAGTTGCACAGGAGCGCTACAGCAAGGAGCAAGGGAGCTGCACTAGGGAGCTACACCAAACGATGCCAGAGCACTAGGGAGCTGCACCAAACGGTGCCTAATAGTGTTTTATGTGCTGATTAATTACGATGATATGCCGCTGTAACTCATTTCTTCTCCTAAAGATATTGAGCCCGATCGGCAACCGGTCTTTGCAGCCTACAGCAACGTGTATAAGGAATCTGAAGACTGTCCAGCATCTCAATAGGAGTATTTGATGAGATTAAAAACACAGCCCATTGCTGGTCCTTAGCTCGAAGGTTGGCACCTGAGCCACCAACGGTTGTACATTTAGGCCTTGTTTAGTTTACATCAAAATTCCAAGTTTTTTCACTCTCTCTCCATCACATCAATTTTTAGCCGCTTGCATGGAGCATTAAATGTAGGTAAAAAAAATAACTAATTGCACAGTTTAGTTGGAAATCACGAGATGAATCTTTTGAGCTTAGTTGGTCCACAATTGGACAATATTTACCAAATAAGACGAAAACGCTACTATTCATCAGGTTGCAATTTTTTGCAATCTAAACATGGCCTTAGGTAGTGAGTAATATTTTTCTTGTTTCCTTGGCCCTATGCAGCCTAGGCTGTGTTAGGGAGCGCAGCTCGCGCATGTAACTGTTGCTCTTGCGCTCTTGCTGCCTTTTTATTATTAATCAAAGCCGGAATGTTCTGGATCTTAAAAAAAAAAACAGTACAAGCTCTTCTCATATTGTCAACTACTTGTGGACACTATTAGCCTGTTCGTTTGTTGGTTTCAGCCAGCCCAAACCAGTCAGCCAATAGTGTTTTTCTCTAAAAAAACCCAGCACCAGTCAGCTCAAACCAGCACTAGCACCAACCAACGAACAGGCCCTGTCAAGAAAAGAGATCCTTTACAACAACCCGCACACTGGAAGCTCCGACCCTGAATTGCTCAAATTATCTCCAACTCTGAAGCTCAAGGTGCTGAGTTTTGCAAGATACCACGACAGGCTAATAGCGTAGCTCATAGACTAGCGAAGCATGCCCGACAATCTGCACTACAAACTTGTAATGCTTAAACTGGGTTTCGCAGTAGAATTGTGCTACCATGCGTGCACTCCAGAACATTGACTGGGGAACATTCTGCCCCATTTCTGTAATATGTTGCTAAATTAATATATGGAAGTCCTTTATAAAAAAAAAACCACAACAAGCCACGCGGGCCACCTATAACCACAATGCCACATGTTCCACACCATGACCGGCTTCTACCGAGCTGGGTATTATCTCCAACAAATGACACATATGGACACCTAAACAAAAAATGGATAGCAAGATATATAAAATTAGTTTTCAACAGAGTACCTATACGAGAGATTTATTTTGGGTTGCTTGACAGTCACAACCCAAATATGAGGACCCTCCCTCTTAAAAACCCATTTGCAAAAAAGGATTTTCTTTTGGATCTTGTTATTGGTGAAATGCCGAATAGGGATATTGAAGCCTTTCCTGTAGCACTACCCAAAGGTCGAATGTGTCTTGTATTTTAGATGTTGTTGTTGGAGATAGTATTGCGTGTTTCCACAAGTGTGCCAGCAACCAATATCTTCCCTTTACCGCCTCTGCTGCCCATAAGTGGTAAATGTTACTATTCTCATTTCAAAGTGTGATTTTATCAGTTTCTAGATCTCAAAGATACATAGTGGAATCTTAGAAACCAAACATGCATGTCAACCGACCTCCAAAGTACAAGCATGCTTACTAGCTAATCTATGAGTATTCGGGCCTGATTGGTTGGCTACCAAAATTTACCATGTTAAGAATTTAGCAAGTCATGATTTTGAATAGTATTTGATTGACTGTCAAAACTTGTCAAATTCTTACATTTGGCTTGCCAAATCTGTGACAATTTTTTAGCCAACTTTTAGCTTACGGTATGATAAATTTTGGTAAAACCAATCAACCCCGTCATATTGGATTTCACTGCAACACGCCCCACGATCTCGTACTCCAATACTCCCCACGTTTGCAACACCCTTTGTTGCATATTTGTTTCTCTAGCCGTCACGTGGGTCCTACGGATGACAAAAGAAATTGCTTTCCATTCTGTTTTTATTCCAAACTTCCAAGCGAAGCAACAACCTTAGCATCGTCCTCCGTCTCCCGTCTCCCTCGCATCCCCCGCGCTGGTGTAGTGGTGTGTGGTGGCCGCCACCGACGCCCACGGCGAGGGCTCGCCAGGTGCTTTGCTCGTCCTCGCTTTCACATCCTAGCTCGCCAGAACCCCAGATCCCATCTGGTAGTTGCGATTTTTTCAGCCCGAAATCATTTATTAGTTTTTTTAGTTCTACTTTCTATTTGTTTGAGTATGATGTGGAAATCGATCTATTCTTCAATCCCAACGCTTCCCCATATCCTAAGATCGTTAGAACAACTGATTTCGTGCTTTTTTTTTGGTTCAAAATCAAGTTTTTTTGCATCTAAACTTCAAATTACTAAGATTCATTATTCCGAGTTTTAAGGTCTAGTCCGTATAGGTTTAGTCAACGAAAAAGTTTAATGTGGTTGTACACTCCATCCGTTCACTGCAAGTCATCTGTTCTCCTATTATGTTCTTTTACAACTGATTTTCCGTCTGGTACTCTGGTGTGGACACCCTGCAAAGGTTTCAGATAATTTTGGAAGGCACTAGCATAGCTCACTCAACCTATTTTGAGGGGCGCGAAACACTTGATTTTTGGACCGTCAATGGATCAATCTTCTTCCTGCATGTCTTCTTTTACAAAGTCCTTCCTCCGCTCGATTCGCTGCTCACCAGCTAGTTCATCAACCATGTGACGCCCCAGCCCCACCCTCCTTGTATCATCTCCCATTGGGAAACCTATGGATCCATGTGGCCTTCACCTTGTCCCTATCCACCACTTCTCCTCTACCACATCGACCAACAGCGGCTTCCTGCACACCAACTATCACCACTGCCGATTTGGCTGCCACCTCTAGCTTACCTTCTTCCTGCAACTGGTGAACAGATGGAAAGTGAAAACCATCGAGTGGCAAGAGAAGAAGCAGCATCAACAACAACAAAGCCTTTAAGTCCCAAACAAGTTGGGGTAGGCTAGAGTTGAAACCCAGCAGGAGCCATCAAAGTTCAGGCACATGAATAGT